TATATTTTTTTAAAAAATATGTAATTACATGTGTTTTCCGATGGTCTTAGGCGACCCCTGTGAAAGGGTCGTTCGACCCCCAAAGGGGTCGCGACCCCCAGGTTGAGAACCGCTGCACTAGACTGTAGGCTTCATGCCGGCAAGGATCATGCCTGTTTGCTCACCTTTGCATCCCCAGCGTCCAGCAGTGTCAGCACATAATACGCCCCCGATAAACACTTGCTGAAAAAGATGAAGAGCGGCTATTTTTCTAAGCACATGCTACGCCTGAGGCGCTGAGCTAAGTGCTTCTAGGCTTATACCTCCACCTGGTTAACAACAAGATGGGTGTTAGGTAAGTACTGTGTCTATTTCAAGCCCAGGAAGTCAGCTCCGAGAGGTACATGTCCACGGCTTCTCCACGCTCATCCAGCGAGCACCAGGCAGGGAGCAGGGACTCAAACCCTTGTCCCTAATCCCCAGGAGTGGCGGGCTGTGGGGGGAACCAGGCCTGGGTTTCCAGCGCGAAGACCTGGCGTTGCAGACCCGCCAATAGATGGTTGTTAAGTTTCTGCTCCCCCATCTGTAAAATGGGAGGCGCCGAGGGAGGGTCCGTATGACGTGCCCACATTCACACCCACAAAGTCCCGTCTGGCACCAACATCTGCCGCTCCTCGGCCTCCCCTAGGCATCCGCGGCCACTAGCCAGACAGGTGGGGAGGCGTGGGAACTGGCCGCTACCGGCCTCCGTGCGGCGCATCCTCCCACCCAGCTGCTCGCATCCCGGACCCAAAGGTGGAGGGGTGCGGCGCCAGAGGTCAAGGGTTACCGAACTCGGGTCACGTGGTCAGCGAAGGGGGCGGGACCCCGGCGGAGCGGGCTCGAGGCGGGTCCGAGTGCGCAGCCCGCAGCGGGGCGGGGCGAAGTGGGCCTGCGAGGGCTGGCTCTCCTGAGGGCTCCGGCCGGCGAAGGTGGCTCCCGAGACCGCGGCGACAGCGGCGGCGGCGGCCCTCTCACCCCGCCCACACGAGTTCCCTCTCT